GGGGGGCAGCGCGGGCGAGCGCCGGGGCGGTGGGTGCTGAGCCGTGGGTGCGGGCTGGCAGCTCCTGCTGCCCTGGGCGGCAGCCACGACAGAAGGGAAAAGAGGGAGAAAAGAGAAAATTCAGTGTGGTGTCACCGTAAGAGGTTAAATAAGGACGTGCCCAGCCCGCACCACTGCAGGGAGTGCTGGGACCACAACCCCACATCCACACCGGGGTCTTCTCCAAGGGTCTCCAGCTGACTTTGTACCTTCCTTCTCAGAGACCCCATTGAGTTCGTTACTGCAAAATGAAGCCTGGCTGCTTTTAATGATTTTCTGCTGTTTCAGAGGCAGAGCAAGGATGGGACGCGTGGATGCTTGGGTCATCCCTTGGCTCTGCTTCTGTGGGCAGCCTCCGTCGAGGAGCAAACGACACGAGAAGGAGCTCGGAGCTCCCCTCCCTGCCGCTCATGAGGCTGCTTCACCATGGCCGGCGTGTTAACATCACATAACGGGGCTGTAATCCTCTTAGCTCAGCTCAGCCGGCACACGGAGATGCGTGCAGGCGTGCCAGGTTGGGCAGGTAGCTCTCCGTAATCCAGCCTCTCCCAGGCCATCGGGATGCCGCAGAGAGGTGGGGTCAGTGGCCAGGTTGTCGTGTCTCTGGTCCTTGAGACGTAACTCATCATCTGAGGACATCAAGCATGTCTTGTCCCATCAGGGTTAAAACCCAGACCAAAACTCTTCCCTTGGCTGATCCAAAACCCAGCACCTGGTAAAGATGCTCCCAGTTGCTACTGCACCCTGCAAAGATCCCAGATCCCACCTTGCTGGGAGATCCCATCCCAGCTGGAAGGGAGAAGGTGGCCCTTTGCCACTCTCCTGGGATTCCTCCGTAAATAGCAGCCCTCTCCCTTCTCCATGTCCTTGGGGTGTTCACCTCTCCGCCATGGGCTTAGAGAGATGGTGACCACCTTCTCCGTGCTGCCAGACCTTCCCAAAGGTGCTGAAGCGGCCGGCGGGGGCCCCCATTTTGGCAGAGGCACGGGG